TTTGTGTTTTTTTTTTTTTTTTTTTTTGGTTTTTTTTTTTGTGTGTTGTTGTTTGTTTCTTGTAATGGTGTTCTGCCCTTGCCCTTGGGTTCTTTTACACTTGAATGAATTGAATGAATATTGTAGTCTTTCTAGAATCTTCACTCCCAACAGTGTAGCAACAATCCTGATATCCTGTCAAACTGCAGATTGTGCACATCTCCTCTAGTTTCATGCACTTTTGTAATGCTCCTTGCTAAGTTCCTATGAAAATTGCTGTTAAGACACAATGCACGTGAACCAGTTTTTCCTAGGAAGAGTAGCTTGTGATTTAGGGACAAGGCTTGAACTGAAACATCTGAGTCCAAGTAGCTTTTGGTGATGTTATTAGGTTAATTGACTCTTATTTACTTTTTCCAGCTTGCATTGTGAGTTATTACTTAAGAAGTTGTGCTAAATTAAAACATGTTTTTTTGTTTTGTTTTTTTTTTTAAATGGATTTGTCAGATTTCGTGTAGAATTTGGACCATAATGAAGGTCAAGCCACATTTTAACAGTAGTCACTGCAAAAATCCTGGTAAAACTGTGTATTCTCCACAATAATGTGACTGCTATGTAATCATGTTGCTTTTTATATCCGTTAGATGCATCAGGAAAGATCCGTATCTGGGACACCACCCAGAAGGAACACATGCTCAAGTATGAGTACACCCCGATTTCAGGGAAGGTGAAGGACATTGCATGGACAGAGGACAGCAAGAGGATTGCTGTTGTTGGGGACGGACGAGAGAAGTGAGTTTCAGGATTTTTTTTGTGCGCTACACTGGCTACAAATTGATTCATAGTTTAAAATCAACCATGGTAGCTGTCTCATGAGAAACTTCTCTTACAGCGTTCACACTGATTTATTCCCACGTGGCACAAACCCACTGTTTGCTTTAGATATCAAGGTGATATGTTTGTGCACTTGCAGGACCAATGTAATTTATTAATTGTTTTTATTATAAAAAGAACTGTTTGCATCACTATTGTGCAGGAAATCGAAACCTTCTAGCACGTATCTGTCTTCCTCTAATTCAAACCTGGATCAACTGTATCGGTGTTCACTTGTCATTGTAGGTTTGGGGCAGTGTTCCTGTGGGACTCTGGCTCATCAGTGGGAGAGGTTTCTGGCCACTCAAAATTAATTAACAGTGTAGACATAAGGCAGAAGCGCCCTTACCGCCTTGCCACCGCCAGTGACGACACCTGTGCCTCCTTCTTTGAGGGACCTCCCTTCAAGTTCAAGTTCACATTACGGGTGAGTTGCATTTGTTGGCAATTTGAGGAGCTTTAGTAAAGAGGTGTTCGTTCCAGAGTAATTAGAGCTAAGCTGGATTGTTTGTTTGTTTGTTTTTTTTCTTTTTTCTTGGCTGTTGTTTTGCTGGACAAGTCTTAGAGAAAAGATGATCTGCTGACATGTGCTGGATTAAAGTGGTCAGAACAGCCAATGGCTAAATGTTGTCTTTGACATGCACTGGTAACAAAGCATTGTCCTTCAGCTTTCCAACTTTCTCTGGCTTGAATATCTGTTGGCCATCTCAAATCTGCCACACTCTGTTGGTTTTTGACAATGTGGCCTTGTTTGCCTGTTTCCATATTACATAATCCACATCCCCCATAAATTCTCAGAGAGTGTGAGCTGCTTCCTACAACCAGGCACCAAGTGTACTGCAGACTAATTTATTTGAAGTTAATATAAAATCCAGTTGGTAAAGGTACATAAAACGGTGGATATATTTGTTAAATTTTAAAGTGAATTACACCTTGTATTCCCTTTAAGAATTGCATTATTGGCTTATTAGTGGGGTGTTATTAAATTAAAACAAACAAACAAGAATTGTAATCACAGCTATTGATCCCATGTCTTTGCTCTCCACATGAACCCTGTGCTATTTGTGTCATAGGTAAATTTAGATTCTCAAATTTGCCTATAACACACGCTTAAAGGAAAATCAAGGAAACATTTGTTTTCCTTAAGCCTGCATACTGGTCAGTCATAATGGTCTCAATTGAGGAAGGACTGAGTTTCTGTCGGTCATGAAGATGACTAAGCCGTCCTTTTTTTTTTTTTTTTTGTGCTTCCTCCTTCCCAACTTGTTTGAGACTATGTTAAGTCTACACTATGACTATTGAAAATACTGGAGGTACTTTCAATTTTTGGTTTCCATTTATGCACAAGAACAAATATTATGTGTCAAAATCAAACACTCATTTGATCCATAAAGCTAACTTCTATGTTTTCTTTCATTTTTTTCCACCCAAAGGACCATAGCCAGTTCGTCAACTGCATTCGTTTCTCTCCAGATGGAAGTCGGTTTGTTACAGCTGGTGCTGATGGCCAGGTAAGTGTCCGTTATCATGTGAAACCTAAAATTAAAATGACTTGAAGCAAAATGTGTACCTAATTGTTTTTATTAAATATCCACAGATTTTCATCTATGATGGAACAACTGGTGAACGTGTTGGCTCCCTTGGTGGAGAGAAGGCTCACAAAGGAGGAATCTATGCTGTAAGTGTTTTTAGGTTAAAAACCAAACTCCAGTGAATAATATGGATAGGTACATTAACAGTCTGCCTTGTTTAAAGGATCAGTCCTAGTGTTTTACGTCTTTGCTACAGTGTTAAGTTACAGTCACTTTGTTAAATGAATGGCTTTTGTTGTTCTGGAGAGCCAACTATAATCAGATTTGGCAGTCTGCCTAGAGGAATTATGTGCCAATAGGAATTATGCATGCTATAAACCCTTCTGTCCTCGAGTTACTAATTTTTTTTTTTCTCATTTTTCTTTGATTTCTTTTCCACGTAGCGTTGGTGTTTTCTTCTATTGTTTAATGCCCATTCATAGGTTGCACAAACAGTGCTTACAGAATTTCCGTCTTTGCTCACGTGCATTCTGACATATTACGTTTCTGTTTTTTCGCCCACAGGTCAGCTGGAGCCCTGACAGCTCTCAACTGATCTCTGCCTCAGGGGACAAGACCGTGAAGCTCTGGGATGTCGGTGCAACCACGGCTGTCACCACCTTCAACCTGGGCTCCGACGTGACAGACCAGCAGCTGGGGTGCCTGTGGCAGAAAGACCACCTCCTCAGCATCTCCTTGTCAGGATACATCAACTACTTGGACAAGAACAACCCCAACCGGCCCATACGCACAATTAAGGTCAGTCTCAAGAATTAAAGGATGCTATTTCTGGATAGAATCAGTGATTTGATCATGATGATAATGGCAGTTTTGTTAGTTTTTTTTTTTTTTTTAACTGTGTTTGAGCTTCTGAAATACAATGGAAATTAAAGTGTCATAGTAAAAACATTTTCTACAGTGTTTGAAAACCAAACTTGGCATCTGTTAAATGTAAATCGCCATCAATATTTGCATAGCGATGGTTCAAACTGCATGCCTAAGAGTGCAAATGCACACTGCAGATCCTGCTTTACGGAGTTGCTTGTTTTCATACAAGTTTTTTTTTTTTTGTTTTCAAATGGGAAGAGAAATTAGTTTTTAGTGATGAAAGAGCAGTGTGCTCAACATTTACACATGGAGGGTGTCGGTGTGAGGAGGCTAGAAGTGTCTTGTGACACATCTTCCTGATGTATCCATCATACACGTGTGTTGTTTAGTAGGTAAGACAGGAAAATAAGTCATTACATAAACTTCTCACAGAAGCATCTAAATGTGCACTGTGGCTATTACAAAGATGAATGTTTTCAGTTCTCTGTGCTGTCTTTCATTTGTGTGGGGATGCAATACTGTAGTGTTAATGTCTTGTATACCTTTCCATATCCAAATGTGTGCTTATTCTTTCTACAGGGTCATGCCAAGTCCATCCAGTGTGTGACTGTTCACAAAAATGAAGGGCGGCCGTACATCTACTCGGGGAGTCACGATGGACACATAAATATCCTTTCAACACTTACTGATTGTCACTAATGACTATAAAGGTCACTCAGTGGGACATGCGTAGGCGTCCTGTCCTGCATGTAAGCTCCAATCTTGCTCAATTGTTTTCAATATAAAAGAGGTTTGATGTTTTTTCTGTTTAACACAAGGTCATTACACACTTGTAGTGATAATATAATGTGCCCTTTTTCCATTCATCAAATTTAATTGATTTCTATCAATGTAGATTTGATTCACGTTGTGCAGGAGCTGAGTTTTAATCAAAATTAAAAAAAAAAAAAATCAAATTGTTAAAATAATTTGAGCTCTTTAAATTGAACAATTACATTTTTACAACCTGAAGCAGCAGGCATTTCTCAGACTTGCATATTTACATAGAATAACTGCAGACATGGATAACGTTCCTTAACTTATCCCTCACATTACTGGGATGCAGAAACTGGAGAGAACGACTGCTTCTCAGGAAAAGGTCACAGCAACCAGGTTAGCAAGATCGTGACTGATGAAGCTAATGAGTTGGTGACGTGCAGCATGGATGATACACTGCGCTACACCAGCATCAGCAAGAAGGAGTACAGGTGAGGGGCCATGATGTGGCTTTATGAATAATCCATTTTATTAATTATTTTACATTTGGTCTAGTAAACAGAAGTTTGTCCTTGATCAGGTGAAGGACAGGGTGGAAGGCTAAGAAAGTACTTTTTTTTTTTTGAGAGGGTTGTTGTTGTTTTCTTCTTCCTCTCCTCACATAAATAACCTCTTTTGTTGGTTTCTAGTGCCTCTGATGTGGTGAAGATGGATTTCCAGCCTAAAAGTGTGTCCGTAGGGGCAGGTGGGCTGTCATTGGCTGTGTGCATTGGGCAGGTAATGTCTTTGCTGCAGTCA